TGTGCGTAGACAAATTAGAAATAGTAGCAGGAGATGTTTGTGCAGCAGCAGGAAGGCCACTGGTATTTCAGTAGCAGTAGTAGATTGATTATTTCCATGATCGAGGACAACAGAATAAAAGAAACATCTGTAAGAATATTGTAAAAAGAATTGAATTAACACGGAAATGGTAGGAACATCGTTTTAGCTTGAAATATGTATGACACACCCTTTAGGATATTTTATCGGTAAAGGTGTATCCCTCATGATTTAACAAACTCTTCTAGTATAAATTATGAACAGAAATAACAAAGAATAAACAGAAGAATCTAGCACTACAAAAGAAAAGGAGAAGAGCTTGTCTATTTTTTTCCACACTTTCAAAATGAACACATAGGGGAGTATATACAGGCAAGAGAGTGAACAAAGGCATAACATCTGATAGCTTGAAATGTCAAATATTATAACTTAAAAGCTATTCAAGGATCTGATACAATTGCACAAATTGATTTCAAATGGTTTGTTATATTTTTCAAAGCTAACATTGAATTGTAAAAAATAATTATCATATTTAAGTCTCATTAACAACATATGAAAAGAATGAACCTAAACATGAATTTAAACGGTCATCAAAATCATTTTTCTAACATGTCTACACGCTATGCTACTGCCTCACAGCTTTAAAGAGAAGCTGAATTAGCTTAAATTGTGCTCAGATAGAACACAGTTGCCCGTGACACGAATAATCTTGATGATTTATATAAGGATTAGTATTTTTTTCATGAAAAAAGGGTGCTTTTGTTTGCACTATACATAGGTTTTGCTTGATCTAGTTCTTGTCAAACTTTTGAGCAAGGTTGTTGTTACTGATTTATTCAAATTGCGCCCTTGCAAATTTAGGGAATCTGAAGTTCTTTATGTGTCACGAATGAGGTAGAATGCACCATGGTGATCCTGTAAGATTGATAATAATGCTAGCAAATCAGATTATGTTTTATAGAAAACAAAAGTTAGTATAAGAGATTGAAAAATAATGTCTAGTCATTCGTAAAAACAGTGATGTGAAGTTAGAAGTTAAGATTATTATAAAGGAAAATGACTTTTGTTCGTAAGTGGGGAAAGTCATTTCCCCTCTTTCAATAGAAAAAGTTATTCTTGCAAAATATTTTGTGACAATTAATCACCCTGACATATTTTTGGAAGGTGTCATCTGGAATATAGTTTCCCCCATTCCAAACACATTAGTGGCAAAGAGAGTTTGTTTTGTTAAAGTTTTGAAAGAAACAAAAGCTGAAGTCATGCTTGTTAAAGAGGGATAGATTGAGAAAAGTGAATTAGAGACGCATGACATATGTTTTTTTGATTTAGATGTAAGAATAAATTGCGGGGCGAGTCAACAATTGTGTACCTGTAAATGCAGAAGAAGATTCGTTGAACTCACCACCAAAAGAATTGCCTCTATGTCAAACTTTGAATCTCATGGTAACAAAGTTAGAACTTATCACAAACTAAATATCTTTGCTTTGCTGCATGTTTTCAAAAGAAAACTAAAGAAACATCTCTGTTGAAGTAAAATGAATTGTTCTATTTTTGATATCCATAGAGAAGTTATATATTTCTCTTAAGAGAAAAACCGATCACATCCACCATGTTTTGATCATGTGGTGGTTTAGTTTTAGATAACTTAATCTTTATCTCTTTCAACGGGTTGGGTTGGGTCAGCCCACATGGGAGATCCAATATCCAATAGTACTGTGCCATTTGGTATCTAGTTTTCAAGATTTTCTTCAAGAGACTAGAACTTGGGGTTTGTTGCTCAGAAAATGAATGATCCCGCCCAATGCAAGAACTATAATTCTTGCTGAAACCGTCTCTCTTCCTATGAGGACCAAGGGTCAAAAACAAGACGGTAAACAAGGAAAGATGATATCTCAGCACTGTTATCCATTTGTCCCGATTCTTGCGAGTTTTCAAAATGCAGTGGAATAAGAAATAGGGCGGTAAACACGGAAAACGGTTTCTAAACAATGTTATTCACTTGTTTTAGTATTTGCTAATTGTCAAAATGTAGCGGAATAAGAAACAAGATCATAAACAAGGAAAACAATTTCTAAACAATGTAATTCATCTGTCTAGTTTTTGCTACTTGTCAAAAAACAAGACAGCAACAAGGAAGATGCTAATGTAGAACTGTTATCTAGTTATTTTGAAAGAAAACCTGTTATCCATTTGTCTTAATGCTTGCTAATTGTCAAATGCAGTGCAAGGTGTGCATGCAGACATTCATTTGCACCACTTCTGAAGTTAAGTGCAGAGAACACGCTGAGGCGAAACATCCCAAATCTGATGTCTATGCATGTTTCCCTAATCTCAAGAAATGATTCACATATCAGAGTCTGGGCTGATGGTTGTTTCCCAACTATGTTTCTAAATTCTGTTAACCATGATAAAGTTTGAATCTGTTCAAAAGTTGTTGCTTAGTTCTGCTTCAAACTGTTGATGGGCTACTTAGTTTGGAACTCTGTGTGAAATATATGTCTATAATAACTGCCTCCTCTTGGATTCATATCTACTAGACTTGTCGAGCGTAATGTTTTACCTTGTCATGCTCTGATTGATTATTTACTATTGCTAGTCTTAAACATTCACCACCAAATATTTGGTGGGGGTAGAAGTGATCCTTTGTGAGGTTTTGGGTTTGAGGTTTGAGAATCGAGTCGCTTACCTTTTCGGCACGATTCTATATTAATCGGGGTCGGAAAGTGGGCACCAGACAATGATGGGAAACCCATAAAGGGTTCTAATCATTTAGTATGTGATGTGATAGCATTCAAGTCTATCATTGTGGTCTGACCTTATCTTCTGTGTCTTATCTTCTTTTTTAAGTTTTTCTTGAGGAAGAGAAGAAATCACTGCTGTTATGTTTTGGAAAAAGATTTAAGTAGGGATGCTGATTGTTTGAAATCACGTAATCAGAGATTCAACCGCCCATGTTCAAAGCCGAAATAGAAGTTCGGTGCGAAATTTTAGTAGCTCAATTGACTATTTAAACTTGCATCTTGTTATTGAGGATTCGATCCCTGTAACCCCCATTTCTTGTTTTCCTACTCCCAATTTGTTTTTTAAAAACAAAAAACACAGAAGTCAGTTTGTTAACTACTTATTTGCTAGAATATGAAAGACGTAGATTATGGAAGAAGACATTTTTTAAAACAAATTTAGGAGTAGACATGATTTTTGCCCGAGAGTAAAATACATGACTAGAAACTATTACTGTATATTGTAAACACATAAAAAGACAGCAAACTCTAGTAGAAAGAAATATTAGGTGATATTTTTTCATTTGTTTTTAATCTTGATAGATAAAATTACTCGGTACTTGTTGGTGATGGAAAACGACAGGTATCTAGTGGAATTTATCAAAATACGCACGAGATGAATCAGACAGCGTTGTCCTAGGTTTCTGATTGTGATTTTAATATAGTCAAGTTTATTTGGAGTACATAGATAGAAGTCTTTAAAAAAAAGAAGAGCTATTAGAACTACTGAAAGACATTGTTATTTTCTTAAGTATCTCTTGTGTAATATCAACTTCTTATCTGAACCAACAACGTATACGTTTCGAAATTAGTGACAATGAACCAGCTTTTATTTGTATAAAAATAACAAATACGTGATTGTCTTGTAATTTATTGAAAATATTCTTTTTCACGTAACAATTTCTTATTACTGAAAAAGGGAAAGTAATTTTTTAAAATCATTATTAGCGTTTAAATTGATTTTCTTGTACCATACTATATTGATTGGGATGAATGAAACTAATTTAATCACAACAACACACTAATCAAGTCAGCAAACTAAACACGTCTCTAGTAAGTAAGTCACACTTTCATTCTTCCAAATGTAGATTATTTTTATTTTATTCGTAAAAATATATTCCTTCATCCATAAAATAAAGGTTAAAAATGAAAATACTAGCAATTAGCTAGCATACTTTTGCTAAAGTATGTACTGTAAATATCTTTCTAAGAAACAATACTTATATGTATAAAAATGAGTCAGTACCATTTGATAATAATTCACTGAATGACAATAAGTTCAATCCTGAACCAGAAATTCCAGGTTTTGACTTTGGAAATAAAATTGTTTTCTGATTAAAAAAAAATATTCTACCCAAAGTGAGATTTCTATGTACAAAAACAAATTAGGATCATTTAGCCCAAACCAGATAGGTGCAAAAAGTTCGATAAGAAACTGATGTAAACTGACGGGGAGTACTTAAATGGTAAGTATCTTTCACTTCCAATCTTAACATTATGAATTCGAGTCATTAAAACAACAAAAAAAAAAAATGGAAATTTCTAGGGAGGAATTAAAAAGAGAGAGAGAAACTTCATAGGTCCTCCAAGCAAGGTTAACCATCTTATCAAAAATTATAATCGATAGTAAAAATATAACTTTATTTTTCAAGTAAGTTCACCGTAAGCTAACACTAATGTTTTATCAGTGACTCCGACTTCAGACCCCTCGTGAGCCTTACCATAAACAGAATGTTGGCATCACCCAACATTTACAAATTAAATTGTGACAATAAAGGATCATCATTATTAACACAAAAAATTGCATATGTAACTGCATGTTGTAACGCCTAATCAGTGACCACGAACTGCATGAGTATGGGCGGAGTTACAAGTTCATCAGAAAAGTACATTTACTTTTTTATATTTTGAATTTCGTGAAAATTCTGCTTTTACCATTGCCTAGAAAGGCGAAATTAAACATTTTAAAAAAAAGTAAAATCTGTTGCATGATAAGTGAAGTTACTCAGACGATAATATTCGAGTCAGAACAACAACAAAAAGGTGAAAGCTCGTAGCGCGAGAAAAAACTGATTGCACATATACTATTTTTTATTTACATGCCTAAACTGTAATTCCGATGACTATTTTACACTAATTTTCCCCAACTTTCCAATCGTCAAAAAGCCATAAAACAGATAGAAAAATTCGATCCAAAACTAATTTACATACTTACAGTGAATTAAAATCGACACTCGATTTTCACTTTTCTTAACCGCTAGCGAGGGTGGTGCTGAGGAAGCCGGAACCGAAACTGCGACGCCGGAGATCTAACAGCAACGCCGTGCCAACATATACCACCTCCACACAACTCATCGGAATGATGACGTGGCTGGTTCCGATTCTGAGTAAGATGACGATCGCGTGTCAAAGCACACCTAGTAACCTTACGTGACACATCCCACGTCAAACTCAAAATCAATACACTTCCTACAACAGCTGTTGATACAATCAGCACAAAAACTCCGCCGTAGCTCCGTCCAGTCATCAATCCGTACGCCTTCATTGCCGCTATCACTAACAGGTACAACGTCGTTAAATTCCCCACTACAGTATCCGAAATCGCCATAATTATTGGTCTTCTAAGATCAAAATTAAGTTGAAATTTGGTAAATTTTGAGTCTACAGCAGGTAGTGAACTGATAATAAAGGGTTTTAAAAAGGGATTATGGTATGGAGTGAGAATTACGAAATTTTCGATTTGGGGTTGGGGTAGGGGTAGGGGTAGGGGTTGTAAGATAATGCTATGGGTTCTGAGCTTATCTTCTTTTTATTTTCAGTATTTTGAGGAAAGGGAAAGGTAGCAGTGAATCTGATTCAGTATTCCAACTATAGAGACTCGTCCATCGGCTCATAATTACTCCGTTCGTTTTCAATTTGTTTGTGTTATTTTTTTTACTCTTTTAAAATTAAGGTAGCAGTCAAGTGCTAGCTAACTTTTAAATAATATGTTTACTATTACTCCATTTGTTTTTATTTACTTGTCAAATATTTTTAATTTAATTTTTCCTTTTTACTTGTCATTTTTTACAGATCAAAGAAGGATAATTTTCTTTTTTTGTATTATATCTTCAATTTAATTATATTGAGTTAATGTCTTTGAAAAATTGTAGTGAGTATGTTTAGGACTTTATCAATTAATAAAAGTAAAATGGTAAATTCATTATACTACTCATTATTTTCTTAATAAGTGTGACAAGTTAAAATTTGACTAGTAAATAGACACGAAGGAAGTACTAGATATCTTTAGCTTAAGGTAATAAAATTTTAATTTTATTTTATATTTTTTATAAAAGTTTATTTTAAATTAAAATTAGATAAATAAATTGAGACGAGAATGATTAAAAATTATGACCATCCAAAAATATGAAGACGTGTGTCTAAAATGTGGGACACTGTGGGTATTATCACCTTTATTTAAACGTGGCGGCACAACATTCCTTATTGCCACTTTAAAGACAGCCAATTATGTCGTCATTTCAATGCAGGAAAAATTTTACGACGCCCAACCAACAATAGTTGTGTAAGACTCTATTTTTCTTTTGACAGTTGAATGTTGGATCCATTTTTTTTTTCTTTTGACAGTTGAATGTTGGACCCATTTTTTTACTTTTTTACTATTCTTCTTCGACTCACTCTTCTTTTCTTTCATTTTTTTTACTCCTAAGTCCTAATAAATATCCAACTCTCAACTATATAAGTAAACAATTGATATAATTAATAAAAATACTAATAAATATTTTTTGTCAAATGAAAACGTTCTCATGACTGAATATTAAATATAATCTTATTATTTAATATTGTTAATAGTATAAAATTAACTAAAAAAAATCCAATTTCTTAATTATTAGCGTTTTTCAAAAATTAAATTAATTCAAATTTATTATTTGATAGCTCTTTTTGTTTTGTCTTAGACTTTAGTTCATATATGTGCAGTCATTATCTTAACATAGATTATCAGTTACTTTTTTAAAAAAAAAAATTAGTTACAATCTTTTAAAACTTAATGAAAAAATGCTAAAGAAATAAAATTGTAAGTGAATGTGAAGACCTCTTGATATATAGAAAACGTATAATAATAATAATAATAATAATAATATATAATGAGTAGTTAATTTAAACGTTGTCGAAACCAATTGATTCTTGAAGAATAAATTAAGTATTTAAAGTTTTAATTCAAAAGACTTAAATTTCACTATGTGATTTGCTTTATCCTGCATAATTTTTTTAAATTGCTTATAAATTCATCCCATTTGTCATGTTTATCTCGTTAGTATTTGTATTTTAAATTATAATTAAGATAAAAAAATTATCTATAATTTTTAAACAAGATCAGAAATTGGTTTATTTTATTAAAAAAACACACAAGATCAGAAATTGACTTATTTTATTAAAAAATATTGAGCAGTAAGTTTATTTTTAAAATTAACAGTTCTAAAAGTTTTTAAATAATTTAACAGAAAATATGTTCATCTATATTTTTTTATCAGATGTAATAATTATTTAATTATGCATTTAAAAATTAGATATTTATTAGGAGTAAAAAAACAGAAAATAAAAGAAGAGAGGAGTGAGTGGAAGAGAAGTGGTGGATAACATGTAAAATGTAAGAAAAGGGTCCACTATCCAAGTGTTAAAAGAAAATGGAGTTTCACACAACTATTGTTGATTGAACCTTTTATCATTATAAATTTTTTCGCAAGGCAGTACAAGCTTTAATTTTTCTATAGTAGTATAAAAATACACAGTATTTTCATGATTTGAACTCGTGATTTACCAATTTCACGAAAACAGTTTTTTCTTTAAGTTCTAATGGATGAAACTATTCAAGTTTCTTGATATTATGGACGTAATTTTATGTTTGGTTTTGTTTAGGGGGGGTCTTAATGAGGACTTTGCTTTTGTGCTACGTTAAAGAATGTATTTATTCTTCTTAGAATAATACTCATTTGTTTTTCTTAGACATGCACCTAAATTCTGCCCAAAACTTCCTTTTTGTTTTTTGGCTTTCGAGGCTTGCGGTCCCGTAAAGTTTTGGTATATGAATGCAACTTTAATATTATATTGAAATGTGTATCATACAAAGACAAAAGTGGTAGAGAAGGTTGTTACTGATGGGGCACTATCAAAATTAAATTATAGTAACTAGAAACAGCTCATCTTATTAGGCAGAAGCTCTCCCATTTTTTTAAAATATCTTTTTCATTAATAGGAAAAATAATATGGTAAGGAGTTTTAGCATTAACCGTAAGAATTACAGACTTCACTTGTGGGACAACACCGATATTAAGTTGGTGGTGGTGGTTAGAGCTGTCAAAAATGGTCGGTCCAAGCCTCGCACGCAAAGGAATTTGAAGGGCTAGGGCGGGCTGACCCTTCATTTGGTAGGGCTTGAAAATGCTCAACCCAACCCAATCCTAGAAGGGCCAAGAGCTGGGGCTGGCTAGCCCTTTTTTTTTTTCTTTTTAAACTTGTAATTCTATAACATCAAGAAAATGAGAAGATTTTCAAATCAAATATGGCAAACAATGGTGTTGTTTCAATAACACTAGCAAAAAATTAGTGTAATTAGCATTGATCTCGCATACCAGATATGTGAGTGAGATGAGAGAGTGACAAGCAAGATGGGAGGGAGGTGAGGGCGCGAGATATGTATATGTATCCTAGATACATGCGAATCTACTTTGATAGAGTGTATCTAGAACAAATTAACCTAATTTTGAGTCTATATATTCCGAGATACGGGTATCTGAATACGAAGATTCATAATATACAACATAGCGTGTATTCAAATTATTAGATTATATACTAGTGAGATTATTGTAAATTACTCTTGAATAAAAAGTTTTGGCCCATGGGCAGACCCCGACCCAATCCTGATCAAGTCTCAAAGGCCAAGGGCTTATATGGGCCGGGCTTATAAGCCCTAGTTTTAAATGGGCTTGAAAAATCATATCCAACCCTACCTCATTATTTTATTTTATTATTATTTTTTTTAACCGTGGTTTCCGGACGTCGCTTTGCGAACCCGACTAGCTATACCCACCGGGTCCCGCTGTTTCAAGGCGGGTCCACCACGGTTAGTTCCACGGGGCCCTGGAGACGCGGCCGGTTTGTAATGCCTCCAGTGGCCCTGCTGGGGCTCGAACCGGCGACCTGAAGGACTTTGTCCCAGGCCTTTACCAGCTGAGCTACCCCTCAGGGTTAACGCTACCTCATTAACGGGTAGGGTTGGACCGGCTCCATGGGCTAAGCCCATTTTGACGGCTCTAGTGGTGATGTTAAGAATTATTGTCATGTCATTATGTTTTTTTCTTTAAATTAGTAAAATTATCCGCGCTTTGTGTGAAAATTTAATATCACATAATTTATAAAATAATACTTACAATCTATCAGTCATTAAAACTAAAACACTATATTATCTTACATACAAGATTACGTAGTAACAAACATTAATAATGTAAAGGAAATTATTAATTATAGCATCTTATCATTTATCCTTCAATCAATCATCTTTAATTTGATTTTATAATTTATCCTTTTGCCTCCACGAAGTATTACTATTTGATATTTTAGGGAAATCAGATGAGCATCAACATGAGATATTAAATTTTCTAATAAATAAATAATATTTATATGTACTAACAAATACTTATAATAATAACTTTGCAGAAACATAAACAACAAAGTTTAAAACATGTACTGAAAAACAACAATTAATATCATAAGCATAAATTAATGACTGTAAAAAAATTTTACCAGGATCTATAACAATAGAATGAACTAGAAAGGTAAAAAATTGAGCTCACTGAATGCACAGTGTCCCCTTAAGGAAATTATTCCCTCTAGTACCCGAGGTTTAATGGAATAGATCCTCTCAGGATGGAACGCTTTTATTCACAAGTATATTGATACAAGAACAATGGTGTCAGTGAGCCATTCAACGAGAGCAAAGTACTTGAATATTTAATTGTGCAGAAGAAGAAGAAGAAGAAGTTCAGAATTTTCATTGTTTTAAAATGAGAGGAAATCCCTCAAATAGACAACAAAGGATAGTGTGAACGAATGCTTATTGTGCCTTATCGAAAATGTCACAACTCTTTGAAAAGTTACAACTGTTCGGAAAGGTCAGAACCTTTCATAAAAGTTACAATTTTTCATAAAAGTCGTAACTCGTCATAAAAGTCGTTATTCTGCATAAAAGTCACATCTTTTCATGAAAGGGATGTCTATTTTTGGATAACTATTCATAAAAATCATTACTTTTCATAAAAGTCACATATTTTCATGAAAGGGAAAGACTATTTTTGGAAATAAATAAATTTAAAAGAAAATTCTAGCTTGTAGTAGCGCCACGTAGACGTGTCTAGGGTTCTCTTTTATATAAATATATGATTTACTAAAAAGGTAAGGTAGTCCATTTGTTCTCATGACAATTACAACTTAACAAGTATAGCACATTACTATAAACAAGTCAGTCGCACAAATAAATTCAACTTTTTGTTTGTGTTGAGATTAAGACTTAATAATTAAAGTGGGACCAAAGGCCTACTGTTTTATTATTTAGATCATATAAAATACAAAGTAAGAACGAAAGAATTATTTTCGTGTTCCCTCTTTCTTTATTAAAATTAAAATAA